AACGTTAGCCTGCACTCCAGGAGTAGCACAGTGGATAATGCAACGTGTAATGCCACAAAATAATGCAATGCTAAAAAAAATGCCTTAGGTTTACTACTTTTTATAGTAGCATAAGGTAGTCAGCTGGACATGCTCATTTACATCTTAGGTTAGATTTAACAGTTTAATCCCATTCCTTACACCTTTACTCGTACCTTTTTATATTGTTTGAGTGGGTTAGAGTATACAGAGCCACATGTACACCTCTTCACCATGCGGAAAATTACAAGACTTGACGGATCAACCACTCCTAGTAAGGTTACTGTTAGCTATGAGCTGTGATGGGGTTTAGTCAGTCAACGGTCAAATTGAGAGCTGGGTTTTGAATTTGTTTTTTTATGTAATCTAAGTTCTTACTCACAAGAACCAAACAACAACTTTCCACCTGTCACATGTCTCTGTAGGACTGAGCTGGGAAACGACAGAAAAACAAATCAAAAGCAAAACACAACAAGCACACAAACAGGAATCCACAGGGTTTGTAGAAAAATCTCATATTAATAATTTCCTTGTCCTGAAACAAATGAAAATGTTTGTTAAAAGGCTCAGGGACCATAACCCGTCTCACCTGAAGAGAAAAATAAAATGATAAGAGAAAAAAAAAACTTACATCTGTTTACATCTGAATCAGGGATAGCAAGCCATTCTACTCCCAAGTCACACATAAACATCATCACATAAGATACATGGCCAAGTCCTGTTGGCATCTAGGGCTAACCCTACCCCTAACCCAATGCACTGGGGAGCCCCTTAACGTCATCGTTCAATGCACTGGGGGAACGTAGCATAATTTTTGACCGCTAAAGGTAGGTGTAGATACTTAACAGAAAGGTCTGAGTAAGGAGGTAGTCCAGAAACCGGACTTTCAACCAGGGGACTGGTGTTCGTTGCTCGTGTGAAACAAAAAGTACAATTGAATTTTTTTATTTAAATTATGTAGGTTATGTTAGTTGCATAAGTATGTTACTTAATTTAAGAAAGTCAAGTTACGTAAGTAACGCGGTTATTTTAACCCAAACCATTAACGTTTGTCAACAACGTGCCGTTTAAAATTGCGACATCTCGCAACGTTAACACATACCATTATTGTGAAAGTCTAACATTGCGTGTTTATTGTTGCTAACTTGACCGGACGTTACATATCTATTGTTTAGACCCTAAAACCCTTAAGGGTACTTAGGGCGTTAAAAAGTGACGCCAAGGGTCTTGACCAAGCGTCCTTATGTGACGAGTTGGGATTTTGGGATGGAATCAGATGCAGGAAAATTATGTTTTTGGGTTAAAGTAAAAAAAAACATTCCACCCTCCAATGCTTGTTTACTTAAGTAGCATAAGAAACATTTTCATATTACAGTCTTCTTGACAACTTAACACCTAATACACGTTAGTTGGGACAAAAATATAAGTGCTGTTTGGTTCAGTTGGTACTGGTCGCAGTCTATATTAATCATGGCTACAGCCGTTCTTTGACATTTATCAGGAGTAATTCTGTCCACTACCAATAAATCTTTGACGTAGTCCCCAACGTACCCAACACCGTCATGTTTGCTTTGATCAAATGGCTTTCGTGTGTTCTTCAGTGTGTTTGAACTCTACACTTCTAATTATCTGACTGGACGTGAGCTGGTCAGGTGGCTGCAGGTGATCAGCTGGAGGGGGCGGGGCTCTACCCAGACCCCGCCTTTGTGTTGTTGGCTGTCTTGGAGCGGGCAGTGCTGGAACCTTTTCGACTGATGGGAAGAAAGGGGCTGGACTCAGAGGTGACGACGATGCTCGGGATTCGACCAATCGTGCTTCTCGTCACGTGTCCCTCTGCAAGATCCCCGCTCTGTCAAACAGGAAATCCAGCTCAACATTTAATTTCAGAATTTATCGCTTTTAACTTATTAAGATTAACAGATTGTACGTATTCAAAAAATCCACCAAGTCCAGCTTTGGGAGAAGTATTCCGATCCTTTACTTCAGTAAAAGTACTAATACTAAACTGTGAATATACTCCACTAATGCTTTAAAACCCTTAAGTATTATGAGCTCATGCTGGCTGTACACTAGAGGACAATCAGGCTAATACTGGGTCCGATTCGCAAAGCTGAGGCTGGTTGATGAACAGATTATTGGCCCAAATAATCCTGTAGTGGGAGGGTTTATAGACATACTCTTAAGGCTCCCCAGTTACGGATCGTCAATATTACAATTCCAAATCAGTTAACTTCCGGAAACCTGCAACGGCCAATGAGAGAAAGGTGAGTGGAAAGAGTCCCAGCGTGTTGTGCATCTACTCGCACTATAAAACGTAAAAGTGTATAAACCTGCTCATTCCCTGTTCTCAGCCTCGAGTTCATCCACAGTTTGATTCTCTTCTTTTGTTTTTCTGTGCAAAACACAGCACACAAGAACAACCAGCTGACCTCTAGTGTGTACCAGGCATAAATGTACTTCGAGTATGAAATTAAAGGTACTCAACTCAGAAAAATGTTTCCGGTCAGTGTTTCACCATTATATCTAATGTTTCTGGATTAATATTCCTGCTGCATTAATGTGGATGTTGCATTTTACTGCTGAAGGTTAAGCTCATTCAAACTCTTTATCCTGTTCCGTAGTTTAATCTGCAGCAATACATCATTGTCTATAAAGCCCCTTTTCCACTGCACAGTACCAGCTCGACTCACCTCGACTCACCTCGACTCTACTCGCCTTTTTTTGGTTTTCCATTGTGGAAAAGTTGTACCTGTACCTGCTACCAGGTAATTTTTTTTGTATAACCTCCGTCGAGGTTCCAAGCGTGCTGAGGCGAAACTAAAATGTGACGTGAAAACACAGCAGACTGCTGATTAGTCAGAGAGAATATTGACTATTCACTGCATCATCATTGCACGCGCCAGACAGAGGCCAGCAACAGAAAGTTTTATATTTTACAGTTTTCGTATGGAATTTCATCACTAAATCCACTTCTGAGAAGTTTTGAGGTGAGAAATCAGCTGTGTAGATTTCGAATATTGACAGTTTTATGAGAAGTGACAGCGGAACAAAAATGTGCTTGAATATTTTCGGAGTTCTTTGAGACGATGCATTTTCCAGCTGACACACAGAGGAGAAATTATCTCTTGTTTGTGTCCGATGGTGTCTCTCTCGCCTGCGCCAATGAAAGCTACATTAGCTAGCAAGGCTAAATTAGCTTAGAAACACAGTTCAGAGCCGCGAAGTAAACCACTCAAAGTGGGTAAATAAGAGACGGAAAACACCACTCACAGATTAATATTTTTATATTTGCTTTCATAACTTCAGATTAAGATCCGCTGTGTGGACAGCTGGACAGTACTTACGTTTGGGATGCTGCCGCGTTCACTGACTCCTGCCATGGAGATATCAGTGTCACCGGACATCTGCAAAAAAGACACAAAAATGAACGGGAGCCAGTGATTATCAGACTGATTAACCAGCATCCGGCTGCAGCCATGATGGAGATTCTCCTCTGCACCACTTCCTGTCACATTAAATCCCAGGAAAGAATTTAATATATTTAGATTTTCATCGAAAGTATAAGTGAGTAAAGCAGGAAACTAGAGTCATTAAACTCTAATCTGTTTTGCAGAATTTTAAAACACTTTTAAAAACCCGAGCGACCGTTTCGATTCAATGATAGATCAAAAGGAAAAGAGGATTTTCTCGTCCGAGCTGAAAAGCACATTGAGCAGAGAAAATATGAAACACAGAGCAGCAGATTAACAACGGTGTTTTAAAAAAAGATGTTCTGGTGTTTGGAGCTGCACAGATCTGCTTTCACCAGACACACACACTACTCCTCACCGGCTGAATGCAGCGATAATGATCTACATGAGGGGTAAAATGCCTTCTGAAAAACACTTGTGGGTGTCCTGCTGTGGTAATCTGCTGTTTAATCTGACTCCAGCTGTGCAAATTATCTCTTTGAGACATGTTAAAATGTTTGCCCATCAGGTCAGCTGAGTCAGTGAACTCTTTTAAGTCCCTTCTTACAACATACTTTTATAGGAGAGCCTTTTCTGATTTTTGTTGATTTAATTTTATTCTACTTAATATATTTTTTCTTTTCTTTTAACTATATTTTGTGTTTCTTATGTCTTTTCTTGCCTTTTCTGTGTATTTATAATCTGTGTTTTATTGTATGCGCTTGTTTAAGCACTTTGTAACATGGGTTTTGAAAAGTGCTCTAAAAATAAAGATTATTATTATTATCATCGTCCCCTTCAGTTGGTCAGATCCTGACACCGGGACCTGTCAATCATCTGGATTGGCTGTTATTTGAGCCCGGGGGAAACCTCTGGCTCTCACAAGTGAAGCCAGTGCTGAAGCACCTTAAACCTGCATTCTCTCTAGCAGCCAGCAGGGGGCGACTCCACTGGCTGCAGAAAGTAGTGTGATTTTATCGAAGTCAATAAGAAAATGAGGCTACTTCTCAGCTGATTTATTACCGCAGTAAACACTTGGTCTCAGTCGCTAGTCAACATTGACTGTTTTTAGTAAAATTGCATAAGTACTGTTAGTAACTATTTATTTTAATCCAAATTATGATGTTTTCCTGAACCTAACCAATTTGTGATGTTTAACATTAATCACTAGTTTTATTTTGTTTCAAACTTCAAACAAACCGTAGAGCCTTAAATGTTGAAAACGTCACTAAAGGGTACCCAGGGCGTTAAAAAGCAACGCCAAGGGTCTTGACCAAGCGGCTTAGGAGTAAGAATCTGTTGACAAACACGATAAAACACTGCAGGCCTGCGGCAAATCAAGCCAGCGGTAACCCATGGGAGGAGCTGGCAAGGTGTTTACCTTTTCGAAGATGCCCGAGTCGTGGTTCTTCATCTTGGACTTGAAGCTGAAGGAGGGTTTGATTTCGGGGAGCTCGGCGGTGTCTCTGCTGATGTCACAGGAGACCTGGCGGCTGGCTGGTCTGGAGCCCATGCTGGACAGGTCAGCTTCAGTGTCCGTCAAACCCTGCAGAGAAAAAAAAAACACACTCTTTGACTCGCACAGCGGTGCACACACACCTGAGCGCCAAATGGATCTGAGCTTACCGATTCGCTGTCGGAGATGGAGGAGAGGCGGGACTTGCCGTTGCTCTGCCGCCTGAACTGGCTGCTGATGTCGGAGGTCTGGCTGGTCACCGTGGAGCGACGCGTCGACATGAAGCTGCTGCTGGCCGAGCGGAGGTCACGAGGACGGATGCAGAGCAAGGCGCCGAGGAATGGGATGTACTTGGCTAGCGCTAACCTGTACAGACACAGAGAGATCCAGAGATTGAGGCTGGATTGAAGCTTTGATCAGTTCTTCGTTGGTTAAGAGGTTGACTCTACTGTTAGGCAACGGGAGCAGGTGCCTCCTTCCAAGATAACTTCCGTTTTCTGATCCAGTAGAAAACTTCATACCAGCAGCATTTTCAATAACACAAATAACTTAAAATCAGGCATTGGAACATCATTTTACTCAGTGGTGTGTGGTTCACTCCACATGTCCAGATAAAAAACTAACACCACTTCCCATAAGCTCTAGAGCTCCACCGGTTAGACGTTACGCCTCGACAGAAGAGCCCATGAGCAAGCATCGTGCCTACAGGTCGAAACCAAAGTCTATTCTCACTGACTGTAACCGGCAACTGTACTGAAGTTGTGGGCAGACGGATCTTCCGCTGTTTGTCAAGAAGTAGTGCCTGCACACAATATTTATATATATATATATTTATATTTCTGTTTGTGATCTTTACAGGTGTTGGTTGGTGCATTTTGCTGCCTCCTCCTGCTTCCAGCTGTTATGCTAAGCTAGGCTAACCACACCCTGACTCCAGCTCTGCACTGAACACACATGAGATTGATATCCACCTGAACATATCGCTAACATAACACTATTTTCCAAAATGTTGAAGTATTCAGGGTACAAAGTCAAGTTTCACGGTATTCTAAAGTGACGCAGTGCTGAGGATGAATTACGGACAGCTGTTACGAACAGTAGCTAGCTGTGTATAGTTTAACCCTGTAAATTTGTTTATTAGATGTCACATTATAAGCTTTGACTTTTGAATAAAAGCCACCAAACAGGACTTTAACTAAACCATTTTATTGCTTTTTGTTTGAATATAGAATTTAAAGCTTCAAGCATCAAACAGCTCTCTGCTTTTCCTTCATAATGTTACAGATGTTGTATTAAACACCTAGAGTTACACAAGCTGTTTTCTCTTACACTTTAAAACAAGGTCAGGTGTTCTGCATCAGTCCATTGTGTGTGTTCGATTGTCTCCAGCCCAGTTAACATTCAGGTTAATTGAGCAGCGATTGGTTCAGTTGTTAGAGCGCCTTGTCTGATTGGATCAATCTTCAAACAGTGTGACGGTCCACTGAGCAGAATAACAGGCAGGTTAGCTGGAGTCAAACTAAATTCAGATACTAATGAACAAATAGGTTCAGGTGAGAGCCTGCCGCCGAGCTTTAGGTTGTATGTTGTCGATGTTTTTCTTCTCTAAGGACGATCATTAATCCTCTTCTGAGAGTGTTTAAAACTAAAATTGGCAGATTAAATCAAGAGGGGATTTTGAGGAGGGTTGAAAACAAAAATTAACAGAGATTTAAAACAATACACAGATAACTCAAACACAACTGAGTCAATTAAAGTATGGGGTAAAGTCAGTCATCATTTAGAACAGGACCTCTGTGTGTCTACTCACGCCTAGTATGTGTTATGAGTTGTAGTTGTTTCCCTGTGAGTTTGAGTTTTTGCCATTGTTTCATATGTCTATTTGCCCGTTTCTCTCGTTCCTTGTCCTTAGTAGTTTATGTCTCCTCTTTTATCTTAGCTCTTGGTCCTGTGTTCTAGTTTGTCTTTGTTCCCAGTCCTGTGCCTCGGTTACGTTTTAGTATTTACTTCTTGTTCCTCGTCTGCATTATTTTAGTTTAGTCTGCTCTGTATTCTGTGTCTTAGCTCCTCGTTCTGTGTCTCGGTTTATGTCTTAGTGTTTTGGGTTCTGTCCTGTGTCCAGTATCAGTTATATAGTCTGTTGTGTTTTGGGGTTTACTCATGTCCGTCTCTGTCTGTCACTCATGTCTGTCTTCTTGATGCATTAGTTTCCAGTTCAGTGTTTTACTTCGCTTCACTTCGGTCTGTGTTCCTTGTTGGTGTTAGTTCAGTGGGGATGTGTCTGCTTGTGTCTTGATTCATTTATATTTATTCCTCTGATCTGTTATGTGTTCAGTAACCTGTGTCATGTCTATTCCCTCCAGTATCCCTCTGCCTGACTGTCTCTCTGTTCTCCTCTCTGCTCTGCCTGCCTCGTTAGCCTCATGTCTTTCTCCTGTGTTGCTCCCGCCCTGCTCGTTAGTCCGTGTATATATACCTGGTGTTTCTGTCTTGTCTTTGATGGGTCATTGTTTGTTGTCACCCAGTGTTGCAGTTTGTTCTTGTGTCTTCAGCCTTACTTGCTGTGTCTTCCTGTTACCCTGCTCATTTTTGGATTCTGGTTTTCACCCTTTTTGGATTTCTGTTGGACAGCCACTCTGTTTGTAAGTGTGCTCGCCTTTTGTTATATTAAAACCCTTCTCTGAACTGTTCCTGCTGGCTTTTCGTGTCCTGCATTTGGGTCCTCCAACCTGCTCAACCCTGCCTATCACCACATAACTGTAACAGTATGTCTAACCCTTTTCTAGAATTTGTCCAGTAAAATCAGGATTTTCAAGTGTGTGTGCCCAGAAAAATATAACTGAGCTTGATGACCTACATAGCTGTGACAGACTGATGCTGTTCCAGCAATTTAATGACTTAGCAAATACCTGCCACACACATGGATATCTACAGCTGAGACATTTTAAACGTTCGGATCCCTGGAAAAAACAAAGCTTTCACAATTTATTACAAACCCAAGGAATCCAACGTAAACATTTCAGTGGCCTGTGATTTATTGTTAGCACACAGCATAAAGCTAACACCAATTTGCTCAGAGGGAAATGGGACACAGATCTTGAAACAACACAATTTGATAATCAATGGTCCTTACTGCCTCAGGGCGCACACAAAGATAAGTGCTAGATACAAAATCTGAAAAATAGTTTCCAACACATTCTTTTACACTCCTGATTTAAAAACTGGAGCTTCAGAAGCAAGAACCAGAAATTTCTTCTATATGGCTTGGTTATGCCCAAAACTAGGTCCGTGGTGGGAGGCCATAGAAAATACTCACTAAAGTCTTAAATATGGAATATGGCTCCTCCCCTATAATGGAACTACTGGGAGATTACTGAATCTGCAGTTTAACTTCATCCATTCAGCTCATGTCTTTGGGATGCCCAAAAATTATTTTTGTCAAACGGACTGCTGTGGATCCTCCTAGCCAATCACAATGGGTGAATAGACTTAACTATTGTCTGGCTTTAGAGAAGGTTACACATTTTTTTTAGAAACACAGCCGGGTGAATCTGCACTCCTCCACTATTATTTTATTAATTCCTTTTTCCCCCTCTTTCTTTTATTGCATAAAACTTAAAATGTTCAATAAAAAGGTTCAAAAAAGAAAATGAGTCTTAACGAAAAAATCAAACTAACGTAAACTGTATTTTTTTGTTTGCAGAACAACAATAAACTAAAATTACAGAGCAAATGTCTAATAGGGTCGACATAAGCTTAGTATTTCAGGTTGGATATGAAGTCTAGTGGCAGCAAAGTCGGGAGAAAGCGGCAGAGTAATTTGGGCTTACTTTCACTTTGTCACTGATAAGAGCAAGTGCCTCGCAGTGGATGGTGAAGAAATATGTGGAACGTTTCTCAAGGGGAAAAATCCCACAAAGTCCGTCCAAATTTCTGCATTCACACCTGTCCAAATGAACTGCGCCAAGGGGGAAAACGAACTCTGGTGCGATTCGACCGAACTAAATGAGGCAGGTGTGAAATCTCCCTAAAACTAACAGTGAAGCTAATAAAAACTAAACTAAAACTTAACATTTTCTAAAAATATAAACTAGACTGAACTAGCAAACCTGCTTTAAAAACTAAACTGAACTTGTAAAGTCAAAACAGAATAAAAATAAAAACTAATGACAAAATGCAAAACTACAATGACCTTGGTAAGGAATCTGTGAAGGTTCTCAGTCGCCCAGGTCACAGATATCCAAGGAAGGTTAAAATCAAGGGCAGCATGTTACCTGTATTTCGGGTGCGTGATGGCGTAGATGATGGGGTTGTGGATGGCCGAGGCCTTGGCGATGACTGCGGGCACAGAGTTCATGTAGGGAGTCAATATGTCTGCGTACCTGAAACACAACAACAACACAGTGAGGACCAAGAACCTTTGCAAACGGACACTTCAGCTGCACCGTAGGGGGGCGGGGTCAAGTTCACGTTCCCGGAGGGGACCACACGTCCATTCTCCCCCCAGCTTGTACTTTAACCATTTCTGTTTTCTGCTATTTTCTACTTTTCCACATTTCTGAGGGAAATATTACACTTTTATCCGGCAGCTTTAGTTACTTTGCAGATTTAGATGAATAATACAATATATAGTAAAAATATAATCAACTAATAAATTAGTTTGTATTATTACTGATTACGATTAAGACTTTATTGGTCCCTTGGTGAAATACACAAGCTACCCAGCAGTGTATAAAAACTATGAAACTAGCTCCACCTTTGCATCTGCAACATTAAAGTGATGAACACATTAATGCATCAATAATAATAATAATTTATTTCTCTTACATTAGCCATTCCGCATGATAAGTACTTTTACATTATTTTGTACTTTTACTTTTAGCAGAGTATTTTTCCAGTTCATTTCATTAAAATTAGTTTTCTTGGAGCAGCATCTAGTGGTCATTAGAGGAACTGCAGCTAAAGACCATCCCTGACCTCGACATTTGAATTTGGCGGCTGCAGGTTTGAAGCTGTGATACTGTGATTTTATCGATGTTGCTGTAAGCAGCACACGTCTGGCGGTGGTCTTGTTTTACCCGGCGAAGGCGGTGAGAGCAACGGCGGAGTACGGCGACCAGGAGATGACGTAGAGCAGGATGACAATCAGAGCGATCTTCGCCATTTTCCACTCATTGTGCATCCGGTGGGAGTCTCGACCGCTGCCATGACTGTGAATGCTGCCGTTTGTCTTCCCCACGGCCCTGAAATCACACAGACACACACACACCTGTAGCGCTACACCTGTGGGGACACCGTGCACATGTACTGTAACTTATATAATAATACTAACCAAAACAAACACAAAAGGGGAAAACTAAATGCGTTTTAGGTTTAGAAACATTTTGAGCCCCCTCTCCTTTGCCTCCCAGTGGTTTGATCCACTTCCTGCTTTCCCCCTTATGTCACTGACACACACAAGTCCGGTTTGAAGAGACCAAAGTTAAGATCTCTATAGTAGTTGTGGATCTCAAAGTAACATTGAGTTTTTTCTCTTTAATACAGATAATACTCATTCATAAATTAGTCACAACAAAAACGATAATGATTACCGTGAGTGCTCTCTGTTAGCTTTATTAATGTTACTTAACCTGTTTGGTGGCTTGTTTATTAGCTTGTTGGATGGTAAGTGACCCACTACAACTAACACGGCAATTAGCGTGAACCAACATCAGGCTAATACTGTAGCTCTAACGTGTGACTATAACTCCTCAAACATTAGGCCTAAATGCATAATTCTGGTCTCCTTTGAAAGGTCAGAAGCTACGTAATATGATCAATTGTAAATGAACCTATTTAATTTGCTAATAAAGAGTAAAAGGATATTTTCATCCTCGCCTGGTATAAAATTTATATTTTAATAGCAATATCACCATCAAAACCATCATCCAATTCATTATAGTTCAACAGAATATCTTCTAATACACCTTTAACTGTAAATTGGATGAAAAGAATCTAATACACAACAGTTATTACACACTTTTTCAAAAATATACCAGGTGAATATTTACTGTTAATATGTTCACTGGTATTGTAAAACACTATTTCTGCCCATACAACCACGTTCCAAATAATATTAAGCTTCCAAAACATTGAAATATTGATAAAAACAGTGAATATTCATCAACATTCCTGTGACCAAATGCACTCCCATGCTTTACAGGCCCAGAACTTGAGAAAACAGCTGACAAAAGTAAGTCTGGGGTTGTAACTGTATATGTATGTTGGTGCGTTTGTTGTTATTATTAGTCCGTGTGAGTTTTGTGATTTGAGTGATATGAGTTTCACAGCTGCAGTGCCGCCGCTAAAGGTGCGCCAAATATGACATCCAGACTTTAGTCAAACAAGAATAAACCTATAAACGTTGAATCTGTCAATACGAAGCGACTCTTTTATGTGTTTATCTTAATAGACTATATGTTTTCAAACAAAAAGGAGCTTTACATAGTCAACTTTAATCATATAAATCTTAATTTTCCAACAACAAAAATGGGGCTAGTAACCACACTGGCTAGTGCTCAAAAAAGTTAATGTCAAGCCCTGCCAAACACACGTACGATGACTGACCGGTTGGTGTTGCGGATGGCGCGGAAGATGAAGAGGTAGCAGTAGATGATGATGAAGAGCGGCAGGAAGAAGGCGAAGATGAAGAGCAGCATGGTGTACGCTCGCACCGACGGGGTAAAGGTCATGTAGTCCCACGAACAGGAAGTAAGCAGGCCCTCTGGGACATAGGCACCTGAGGGGCGAGAGACATAAACAGACACACACAGAGAGAGAGTTTTAATGTCCCATCTGGACACTCTTGTTGCCACGGCCACACATTTCACGCTCTGTTCAAACACAGACGTACAGACTGAGAGGAAGAAAAGGGAGGGCAGGTTCTGACCTCTTGGCGTCACTGGAGCCATTTAGTGTTATTTTTGCACGTGAAGGGCTCCGCGCCGTTAAGTTAACAAGAATAAACATGCAACATCTGGTTAGAAGTCTTTCAAAATAAAAGTAGTGAATTTGGATAATTTTAGACAATAAAACTATGTCCACCCAACCACCTCCTTACATTTCTGTTATTTATATAAATGCTCCGTATAGCACCTTTCTAGTCTTTTCGACCACTTAAAGTGCTTTTACACTACATCCACTCACTGAGCCTAAGTGCTCAAACAGAACTGGCAATTCAGGGTTCTGTATCTTGACCAAGGACACCTCAACATGTAGCCTGGGATTGAACCTCCGACCTTCAAAATAACAGGCAACCTGCTCTACCTCCTGAGCCACAGCCGCCATGCTTACTTTTAACAATGACGCTAAAGAGTTTTGCCAGTGCAAGGGGTCTTCACCATACATTAACACTTGGGAGGGAGAACGGTTTGCATTTAATCAGTCGTAAGCGAACACTTAGACAACACTTAGAGAGGGAGACAATGCTGCGCGAATATATACGCAGCACTCTGCAATCAAGTACTATTTTAAATAGATCATATTAATATGTGGTGGTTGGCGGTGATACTGTTGCGGGCCGCCACAAACAAATCAATGTATGGGAAACACTGACTGAGTGATGACCTAAACGTGCTCCGGCTCAGATCGTTAGGCGCAGTGTGAGCGCAGGCCAGCGGTGGAGTGGGGAGGAGGGACAATCACGGAAACCGGGCCTAGTGTGACTACGCCCTAAGTCCCTCCCATTCTGGTGGACCACCATAATATGTGTAATTCTGGGCTCAGTTCAAACAGGATCAAAAAATAAGTTGTCTCTCACCATTGACTACCGGACATATTTTTTTCCAAAGTAAGGTTCCATGAGCCGGAAGTGGAAGCGAATGACTGAAGCTGTGTTCACACTGAAAGCGAATCCAGCGTTTCGGGCGGCTTGATTACATACAAAGTCACGAATTCCTGCGAATTTGCTCCAGGCTGTGCGGAAGATACGTTTGTTGCAAATTTTTTAACTTGAGTGTGAAATTTGCATGGAGCTATGTTGCAAAAAGCCTATCAGCGTTGAGATTGTCCGGACGTCACCGACGGCTTGAGAGCGTTGTTTGGAGAGGACCAAGCAGAGCGGGTTATTGACGCCGCTGGCCGACGGAGAGCTGCTAAACTACGGGGAAGTGTAGAAGAAAGAGACGGGAGCAGCGCTGCAGCTTTTGGACAAATAAACCCCCGTCTGGATTATGCTCTGACAACTACGCTTGTCAGCAGCTAGCTTCCGTGCATTTGCGGTTCCACTGGTATTGTTAGCGTCGGTTGGCACCCAGAGCTCTGTTGGACTACACTATATCAAAACCGGATAAATCTGGACGTTACTTGGAGAAAAGAAAGCGAGGAAGTTGAACTACCTGGAGAGTTCAGAAAACATGTGTCTGTAACTTTATACCAGCTATCGTTGTACTTTACTGTGAACAAGTTAGCATAGCGTAGCCCTGATCAATCCAAACTACATTCAGAAAACAAACAATTTAGAAGTTGTTGTCCTGCTGACAGACCTGACAAAGCATAAATTCATAGGTCTAACAAATCTGCATCATATTGTAGTTATTTCGGCATCAGTTTGATCCGTTTTCATTTCAGCTAACATCACTGAAATGAAACAAATAAGGAGAAATAGCGTTATAGAAATAAATTGTTGCGTGTTGCTAATGATATCAGCTGCAGTGTTTTCTGTCTGTCAACATGCAAACAAAACGTTTCCTCGTGGTTAAATGTCTCTCTGTGTTTATCTCCTTAACAAGAACACAGCCAAGAGACCACATACTGTATAAACACTGAGGCTGTTCTGCTATTTCTGCCTTCAGCACTGATTTATTTAAAATTGGTCCAGATTTATATGTATTGTTGACTTTGTGTGATTTGTAAATGAAGCAGATGTGCTGCTATGTGCTTGTGAAAATGTCCTCTTTCTTGTTTTGCTTTGTTGTATAAAGAGGAAAATAAAGAGTAATTGTCCAACGAAGGTTAAAATCAAGGGCAACTGGACTTGGTTGAAGATACTAGAAGACGTCGAAACGTCTTCCAGTATCTTCACATAAGTCCAGTTGCCCTTGATTTTAACCTTCGTTAACTATGACCTAGATGACTGAGAATCTTCATAGACAAAGAGTAAATGACATTTTTTGTAGGTAAGATTGTGTAAGCTGTGTATTTGAAACAGTCAGTGATATTTTTCAATGTGAATATAAACTTTCAGATGCGTGAATGTTTTTATTGTCAGTGTTTTATCATTACAAAAAGTTCTGATCTTTTCCTGTATTAGAGTGTACTCTTTCTAGTACTATATATATATATATATATATATGAAGGAAATACATCGGGAACATGTGTAAGTCATGCATATGATGTGTGCATTGTTTCTTTTTGGTGTGAATTTTCATCTGTTGTCTAAGAGATCAAAGATTGAATAATATTTGTTTCTATGAAACTGTAAAATTACACATTGTCCTACTTTGTTTTAATTATTAATGTTTAATTTCATGCTTGTCCCAAAACAGCCGCTGGCCTCTGTCTGGCCCCTGAGAGCCGTCACTGGAAATGAATGACAAAGAATTACCCAGGGGAAAAAGTTAAAACGTATGATCAAATTTAAAGATTTAACAACATACCAGACTCCATTCAAATGACAGCACGTTTACATTGGGTTAGAAGGTTGACAGACCCTACGTTCACCTCCAGCTGCTCCAGACCTGAACCCAGGAACTCATCAAGTCCTGAATAAGATTCCTGAAGAAATGTTTTCTTTCATTCTCCACATGTCCTCATAAATATAAAAAAACTCAATCTTAGAATCACATACTGCTAAAAGCAAATGGCACATTTATGACATGACCTCTGCTCAGAAACATTTTCAACCTGAAGGATTTATAGGAGCTTTTCTGTTTCAATACGTTATAATTTACATATATCTTAGTAGAAATGAGAGGTGAGGGTGAAGAAGGAAAACAAACCACGTGTAGCGCGTGTGAACATGAACTATAGGCGACTGGAGCACAGACACCATACGCCGGTATGGTTTATGTTATATTATTCTTTTTCCTATTTTCCTCTAGCACCATCATGAGGTTCTGGTCCAGTTTAAATACAAAGGAGAGGAGAGTAACATATGGAGAGCCTAAGTCCCTCTCCTTCCAATGGACCACCACCTTACTTTGGAAAAAATATGTTCGGCAAGAGACAACAAATTTTTTGATCCCGTTTGAATTGTGCTCTGAATTACACACGATGATGGTCAATTTATAATATACATTTAATCTAAAACTGTATAAGACAAAAAGTCAAAAATACAAAATTACAAAGACTACAAACCCAAAAGTCGCGTATGTGACGTAACTCTTTCTCTAAATGACTGAAGCTAACGTCAAAGAACTTCCATGAAAGGATGATGTGATAAAAGGCCAGAGAGTCGTTGGATTAAACAAATCAGATGAGATATATATCTGCGAGGAACAAAGCTACGTTATCTAATTAGCAGCAACCAAGCAATGAACGTTAGCTAGCATTACCGCGGCAACATCTTGGTGACGTATATTGTGCGAGACAAGAGAGTTAAGTAGTTCACTCAACTGTTTTCACACAAAATAACATGTAACTTTATAAAATGATCTTTTAAATTGACAAACATCGTGTGTGTGATTCAGGGCTCTGTTCAAACAGATAACAAACATATAAACAAATAAGGTCCCATATAACAGAGTGTGTGTGTGTCCTCACTCCAGCCGAAGAACGGCGGCAGGCTCCAGCCCAGGGAGTACAACCACGCCGCCATGATGACGAGGAGGGCCCGTTTTCGTGACAACACCCCGATGGAGGTCAGAGGTCGCGTGATGACGAAGTAGCGGTCGACAGCGATCACCGTCAGCGTGATCATGGAGCAGATCCCGAAGAGAGCGCCGCAGAACGCGTACAGCTCGCAACCTAAAGACAGAGACAAGATTACAGTAATGGGGACAGATAGTGTTTGAAAAATGTGCTATGCTTAAGAAAGAAGAAGCATTTAAGACTTTCAATGAACTTATAGGACAGGAACTGGAACAGGAAACGCCTGCAAGTGAAAGACATGGCGTAAGATAGGTAACAGTCTATTTGTAAGTGACATGTGATATAAAGATTCAGTTGCTTTGTATGTCATGAAAAACACAATGGGGGCAACCAACTGTTTAAAAGCAGACTGTCGAGCCTCTAGGTAGTTAGATAGATACGTATGTTTTCAGATAAAGTGGACTAAAGGGAGTGCAAAATGCGTAAAAGAAAACTCTGCAGGCAGTTTAACGAGACATACAGGTGCAGAAGATGCTGATGATGTTTAATTAATTTATGAAGGACACAATAACTGCTCCTCTCTTACAGTCATCGCAGCCAAAGAAAAGTCAGACTGTGGTTTAATGAACTGATCAATCCTCCCTGAAAGAGTACATTTCTTGTTAAAAGACAGACTCAACAAGATAAACCAGCACCTCCTCTGCTTGTCTTTCTCTTTTTCTTTACACTCAGTGATTAAAACTTAAAGTGAACTCTCTCTCTGCCTTATTAAAATGACCTCGGGGCGTCTGTCTGGGGAGACGGAGGATCGAGGATCGACTCAAATGAAAACACTTCGCCTTGTTTTCTCTGAGCTGAACATTATACTTTCATGGTGGGAAATTAAAACGGATCTGAAAGCCTGAAGGTGGAGGGGGGGAGGGACACAGACAAGGACTGGATCAGATCTTTATAAGTCTGTGCACTGGTACTTGGTAGCTTTGGGAGAACATATATTTCCTATCTTGTATCTCTATATCCAATTTTCCTACAAATGTTCAGTGCCAATCGTTTAGTTGTTTAAAGAACCACACCAGCAGTTTTAGTCCATGAAATTAAATTTGCAGACCATTTTACACATGATCGGTATCATCTTGATTTCCTTTGCTCCAGGCAGCCTTTTTGGTGTCAGTTCTTTTAGCTAAAAATCTACTTTTAGAGATTTAAAACTTGCCACAGAAAGATAATCCATCACAGTTTAGTGCCCGATGACACCAGCTTTCAATTAAATTGCTAAAAAATAAATCTATTCCTGCTCTTATCCCTATGGGTTTATGCTTAATGAAGAAGCTTTACAACAACCAAGTCTTTCTCTGTTATTATCCTCATTTCTCATCTTTGCTTTCTCTTAAAATATTCCTAACCAGAAGGACAGTCACAGAGCACAGAACTCCTACAAGGCCAACAGTCCAGTCTTCTATGAGACCCAAATCTACAAGCGCTGCCACCATAAACAGGGTTTCTGCGGAGTCTTAAAAAGCCTTAAATTTCAAAATCAAAATTCAAGGCCTTAAAGAGTCTTAAATTTGCTGAAGTTTGTGTTCTAGGTCTTAAAAAATAAAAAAAAATTTCCCAAGTCCATGTAACTGTTATGAGTTGTGGTTTCTTCCTTGTGAGTTTGAGTTTTTGCCATTGTTTCATATGTCTATTTGCCCGTTTCTCTCGTTCCTTGTCCTTAGTAGTTTATGTCTCGTCTTTTATCTTAGCTCTTGGTCCTGTGTTTTAGTTTGTCTTTGTTCCCGGTCCTGTGCCTCGGTTATGTTTTAGTATTTACTTCTTGTTCCTCGTCTGCATTATTTTAGTTTAGTCTGCTCTGTATTCTGTGTCTTAGCTCCTCGTTCTGTGTCTCGGTTTATGTCTTAGTGTTTTGGGTTCTGTCCTGTGTCCAGTATCAGTTATATAGTCTGTTGTGTTTTGGGGTTCACTCATGTCCGTCTCTGTCTTGTCTGTCGTCCAGTGTTCAGTAACCCTTGTCATGCCTGTTACCCCAGTGATCCCTCTGCATGTCTGTCTCTGTTTTCCCTGCTGTCTCTCTCTCTGCCTCGTTAGCCTCATGTCTTTCACCTGTGTTGCTCCCGCCCTGCTCGTTAGTCCCTGTGTATATATACCTGGTGTTTCTGTCTTGTCCTTGTCGGATCATTGTTGTCTCCTGGAGTTGCTGTGAGGTCTCCTGTTGTCTGCCTGTTTGTCGTGTCTCCCAGTCGTGTTACACTGCTCCCTTTGGGTCTCTGTTTGGACTACCTTAGTTTTTGGATTCTGTATTCAGCCACTCACCTGTAAGTGTGCTCGCTTTTGGTTTGTTTAATTAAAACCCTCGAACTATACCTGCTCCACTCTGTGTCCTGCGTTTGGGTCCTCCAACCTGCTTCACCACACCACTTACCGTGACAGTAACAGTCTCCCACATATAATTTGCTGTAATACGACTACAAAGATCTACATGCCGGTGTCGTGTTATTGCAGCGAGTCTCTTGTGGTTTGTACCACAGATATTAAACGGATTTATTCTTCAGCTGTGCGAAAGTGCAACCTTAGTGACTCTTGCATGAAAGAAGCAGAGCTTAGGGCTTGGTTAAAACCAGTTGCTAGCAACGTGTTTGTGTCCCAACGTATAAGTGTCCCAAAATGACAATCAACCAATCATAGGCGGTCGCTGTCAACTCATTTCGTTTCTGTGAATAAACAAAAGCTGCCCGTCCTCACAAGAAAAACAGCCGTGTAGGTCAATTATTACACCGCTTATTACAACAGATGTTGAGGTTTTTAGCGACCTGTAGTGGCTGTACGGCAGTAGCGATGGAAGAAGTCAGTAGACGTATTATAAACTATAAAGAGCATAAGGAGGTAGAATGGGTTAAATACAGGACTTGCACACAGGAGAGCAGCATTCGAATCTTATTTCAAATCAAGTAAATGTAGAGTAAGTTCGATCACACCAGCGTTGAATTAATTTGCTAAAAATAAATCTGTCCCTGCTCCTATCCCTATGGGTTTACGCTTAACGAAAACGCTTCACATAACTTTCTGTTATTGACCAAAATACGTAGATTGTCACGTGTCCCAAAACTACATATGTGACCGTTGGCGAATACCAATCCAGTGACAGGTGTACTGGAACTTGACGTTAAACATGTGGTAAATGTTGTGAAACGGTGGTAGTTTGGTTAGGTTTAGTAAAAGATTGTGGTTTTTCTTTAAAACAAGTACATTACGTCACATGATGATTTTCATGTACAAAATGTCATAACTTAAAACATGTGACCTTTGACTTTCTATAACGCGGGACTCAAACCTCAGTCTCCTGAGTTAAAGTCCCAAGATTTCCTGACTCGTCCATCCCATCACCTCCTTACGTGGACTTTGACTAGATCACCTGACTTCTTCTGCCACTAGAGGTCGCGGCCTAACAACAAATGTAAATATGTGTCAAAATAAGCTGCTGCATAACCGACCTGCGATGCTGTTTCTCTGCACCAATTTTCATAAAAATTGAGCCAGTAGTTTTTCTGTAATCCTGCCGACACACAAACGGCACCGAATACGTGACCTCTTTAGGTTAAAGGAGGTAAAAATAAAGTGAATAATTTGACCATTTTGGGCCTCAAACAAATGACATCGTGTGAAAAGTTCAGAGGGGAAACTGACAACAATACGTCGGTGCTAGACCTTCATCAGGCAAAAGGTGACTTGTTTCTACCTTTCTCTCCAAAGATCCACCTCCTGTGCATGCTGGTGATGAAGAAGGTGGGCGTCTGGGTGACACACATCAGCAGGTCTGCGATCGCCAGGTTGATGATGAACATGTTGGCCGGCGTCCGCAGGCTGCGACTTCTGCAACACACACACACAGACCGCCATGTTTAAGCCACGAGACCAGAGCAGGTTTAACGCCACGGTAAGAGGGGTTTCTCTGGTGTGTGTGGTTATAATTAACAGACAGACACGAGTGGAGAAAGCTGAAAGAAACTCGGAAACAGACTAAAACAAACGGAATCACTGTTTGACCGCTTCAAGATAGAAAGTTCAAAATTCCACATCTTCAGAGCATGAAAAAGACCCTCAAGTTACCACAAACTACAAAAAGACAACTAAAAAACGGTGTCTTCATCTTCTTAATGTGATGCCTTTCCTGTTGAATCCACTGGGTAAAGCAGTCCACACAGACTGAATTGATAGGACAGGCAGGAAGGTGGGATGTTGGTAATCTAAACTTTACGGTTTTCTTTTTAATTACTAACATGCATTGGTCAAAACTGAAGTTATTTGTCAAAACTATTAACACAGTAAGTTGAACAGAAGTGTATGTGGACCAAACTGTGAATCATTTATCATTGCTTTCACACATAATACATTCATTGACTGCTTTCTCCAAAATCCATGAACTCTTTTCTCATCCGTCCTCCATCACCTGCGAAACAATATATATTTGGAGCATATTTTTCCAACACATTCAAAACAGAATGATGGCAAATGTCCTGAAATTCTGCAGAAACCAGATGGAAATAAACAGAAAATCTTAGCAGAACTCTGTGCAGTGATTTGAACAATGTTTGGTTTAGAGCTGCTGTGTGAGTGTGAAGCAGGAAACGTGCTTGTATTGTACAAGACTTGATTGAAGGGGTTGCAGTGTTGGGAGCAATTACAGTAATGTATTTCTTTTTGCTGTAACGCATCACTAAAAGAAAATCGGTAATATTATACCCGTTACGATCTCAGTAATGCGCATTACAACGCGCTTTAACCCAAAATTAAGTTGTGTTTTGTTTTTTTAATAATTCACCAACAATGAGAAACATTTTGGAAGCAGAGTAAAAGAGTAAAGTTACTTCCTGTTGCGGGAATCCGATGGTCGAGATTGTAGGCCGGGTGCAAACTACGGGTGAGCTCGGCTCCTCTTAACAAGACGTTAGCTCCCCTGATGGATCATGGGTAAATAGATTTCGATAGGCTGTGTGTTTGTGTTTTAACAAATTCCTGATCAGAGAGGCTGCTGTCACTTCATAATGATTCAAATAATCAATGATCTTATGCTGCTGTACCTCGTGCGTAAGTGCGCACAGCGTCTTTCTTAATGGGGAGACGATCCATCCTATTTCACCCAGGTTGCACTCTCCTGTCATACATAGGCCCTAAATGTTTCTGAATCGGAAGAACAGCAGCTGTGCAATCAAGATCTTTGGCTTTTCGATAAAGGAGATGTAACATCTGAGTCAGGGCCAAACTTCAAACCATTTTTCTTCAAATTCCAATAAAAGCTTGTATCTAATAAGCTGTCCTTTAAAGCTGATTTAATCAGAGCTGAGTCTCCTCCTGCTGCTGCTGCTCTCTAACTTAAAGCTAACTGGCTGGATTAATCATGCGGTTACTAAAGGAGGATGAGGAAGAGCCTACACAGAAACATCACTGCTTCACTACCAAATTTAACATTTAATCAATGGAAGACCCTTCATGGACCAGGTCTGCCTCAAATGGTCCAATCAATAGGTCGGTCGAGCTCATCTTAAGTGCCGAAGCTTCTTCAAAAGACTCCAGCAAACGCTCTGTTTCAGAGACATTTTCTGTGCAGTGATGGAAGATAAAAAAACGCAGCGCAGGGTCGATAAAAGACAGCAGACACGACTCATTACCGACTCTCCCTCTGCTTATCACAGCGGGAGATGAACTGAATTGAAGGTTTTAGAGGAGAAACAGAAACAAAAGGTGTTTGCTCGTCAAACGATGTTTCTCCCACTTGTGAATTATCTTTTATTTCAACACCAGGAAGGAAAATAGAACTGAATCCTTTCAGTTTGTGCAGACTGACAGTCTTTCAAACAGCACACAAAAAACAGACTTTTTCCTGTAATTATCACATCACGTGCGTGAGAAGAAGCAGCTCTAAAAGAGAAAAAACATGAAGCTGCTCTGCTTTTAACTGGAACCACAAGAAGAAAACACACCACCAATATTTTCACCTCGCTTCATTGGCTTCCTTTTGCTTTCAGAGTACAGGTCACATTTGTACGAACAAGGGCACAACAGAAAAGGCTCCTCCTGCAGTCTAGATTTGCAGCGTCCATTTTGTCACATGTCCCTTGGCGTCGCTTTTTAACACCCTGGGTACGGTCTTTTTTTATACGTGTAGGCCTCCGTTGTCAAATTAGCAATAATAAATATGCAAGACTTTCAAAATAAAACTAGTGGTTAATGTGAAACGTCACAATTTGGTTAGGTTTAGGCACCAAAACCACTTGTTTAGGTTTAGCAAAAGATCCTGGTTTGGGTTAAAATAACTACCTTACTTACGTGAGTTACGTAACGTAACCTACATAACTTAACTAAAAGGAATCAATGTTGACTTTTTGTTTCACATGGGAAACCGGTCTCTGTTATTTACTACACACTTGCTTCTACAGTTCATAAATGATGCCAAAGGGCTTCCCCCACTAAACTATGACGTTAAAGCGTTGAGAATCAGCACAAATACTTTTAAACGTTTATCTGTTTTTACTTTCTACTGTATGACTGTGTTAAAGCTCTGCGATGTGACCAGGTGTACAACTATTTTCCTGTTTCACGCACGTTTCTGTGCTAGCTCTGGGACAATGCTGCACAAATAAAGTTACAATTATAAAACTATTAGGCCTTCGTGTAGAAGCACATTTTCTAAACTTTAATCTGAGGTTTGGATTTACATAATTACAGAAGTGGAGGATAAACAATATGATCGAGGGGATTTAAACCTGCAACAAGTTCAGCTGCTGAACTCGGCAAAAAAAAAAGATCAAACACAGGAAATATTAAAGGTGCAATGTAAAAGAATTTCAGTTTTAAACTTTCAAAAAATTACCAGGATGTGAAGAAGTGACAGCTCTGATGTCAAAGACCTCTGTGTTAGTTTGCAGAGATGTCAACTGGAGTAAGTTGCTAACCAGCTAAAACCACTTTGTACCTCGGGAGGCGAAAGTCCGATAGTTCAGCTCAGGCCTCCCGTCGTAGTTTCAGCTGTCAGATAAAAGCTAAAATAAACTCTCAAAAGGTCAAAGGAAATATTCTTACACCTAATGTGAGTTTATTTTGTTTATGAGCGAGGCAACGCATGTACACAAACTGTACGCAGTCAGAACGCACTACACACTCATCTGACATCATACTTGTATGAATGGTACGTTTTTCCAAACACCATATTAGGGCACAGGAAGTTGTCGTACTTGCAGAAGGCGTATATGACCAGGAAGTTGCCGATCATGCCGGTGATGCCGACGGCGAGGATGACGGAGCCGATGGTGTAGTGGGCGTGGTCGGGCACGTCCACTGTGGGGAAGGGGTACTTGGGCTTGGGCGCCATCGCCACCTGGAGGACAAAACAGGAAAGGACATGTAAATGTGACGATGCTGCAGGTAATCACCTTCCTGGCAGTTTACTTTGCAGAGTGAACAGCGTGTTTCTGCTTTTTGAATTTTAAATTACTGTCACAGTGATAACTTCCCCGAGTCTCGAGGCGTTTCTCAATCTGTTATGTTCTTGTGAAACGCCATCAGAGGGAGAGGCAAACTCGTTAACTCTGCTGCTCTTATAACAGCAGCTGTCACGTAACTTCACTGTCATTTGATGAATGAGGAGGAGAAGCTAGCAAAGTGTGATTTACGGGTGTGCGGGTGAAAATCAGTAGTTCCGCATTGATATTAAATAATTGAGTGAAATTTTTGTAGCATCGGTCATAATTCAGCAGCGGCGATGCGCCGAATACAGGGGAACCATGTCTCTGTAATGTGGACGTCAACATTACCTTATTAATTAATACTTAGATAATCGATTTTTAAAATCTGTGAATCAAAAAAATAACTAAACCCAGCTTTCATAATTGATCATATTTACAGTACAATGTCAGTAAAATATGAGGGCAAACAACAACAACAAAAACAAAATAATCCTTTGATATGGTAATCAAGGTAAAATGTTCAGTTTATCGTGATTTTGATTTTAGGTGAAATCGTCCAGCCCTAACTGTAGGATTACTGCATAAGCATTTGTAAATATTTTCTGTTTTAACATTGCATTGGTGTTGACAGTGTACTTTTCAGCACCTCAGCAGATAACGTTCACTCTACAACATTGAATGGAAATGCATCCATGAGCCTGTGAAAGACAAAAGGGCTTTAGACTTAGAACGACAGTGCGTGCATGGTATATCCAACAATTGCTATTATGAAAAAAGTGTTTGGCGTTTGATGCAAATGCTTCACTTTGAGATGTGTTTATGTTATTTTGAATGCGGTGTTTGATTTTGAGGGAGGCATTTTGCAGTTTGAGTGCTACATTGCATCATTGCGACCTAAGAGAAGGAAAACCAGACATCAGATGTTGGAAATCGCAGCAGTTTAATTCTCCACCTCAGCAGAACTCAGCTTTCTCTAATATATTAATGACTTTATCCCACACAGTGGAAAAACCTTCACATCCATCAGCCTAATTATCACAGACTACCGACCTTAATTCCTTTTGAAAGACTAAGATCTCCTGTACATCGCTGTTTCTAATTAACATGCTCTGAGCTCCCTCTCTCTGTCGTGTCTCACATCGCTTCGTCCCGTCTCTCTGTTGCCACGCAAACGGCATAAATTACTCCTCTGCCAGCAGAAACATCCGACATCAGAGATGGAAGTCAGTCAGAGCAGCAGCCTGTTTAATTTGACTCAGGACCAAACTGCAGTTTTAATAAAAAGATTCTGTGGACCCTGGCATGTCAGTGTACTTCCACTCCAACATCTTCACAAACCTCACAAAGTTCACAAAGTTCACCTGCACTTTAGTTTGTTAAAATATTTTTACACCCTATTAATTACATTTAGCAAAGTAAAATCTATAAATACTCCTAATCTACTAATACTTTTTTCTTTAACATATGACCCATAGAGTGATTCCAGTGTGATGTTACATGTGGTTATATAATTACATCTGGACAGAGCGATGTGCTCTACAACAAATAAACATCACCAACGTTGTTGACACAAAATTTTCAGCCTGTATGCAGAAAAAATATAAAATGTTATTAAAAAAAATGTTATTAAAAAATGTTTTCATTTTAATTTAATTTCTGTTCACAGTCCTGCCTGTTTCCAGTCTTGGAAACCCGCCACGCATCAGAACTGACTTGTTAAAACAACCAGTAGACTTTCCAATCTGCTTCAAGGGGCCTTGGCGTCGCTTTTTAACGCCCTGGATAGCCTTTGGTGTCCTTTTTGGAATGTAGGGCTCCGCGGTCAATGATAATTATACAGCGTCTGGTTATACTTTAAAAATAAAGGTTCTTGGTTAGGTTAAGGAAAAGAAGTGGTTTGGGTTAAAATAACATTACTTATGTGACTGAACTTACGTTACTTGAGTAACTTACATAACTTGAATAAAAACATTTAATGTTGACTTTTTGTTTCACATGAGAAATGGTTAAAAGTACGGCTTCTGGCCCACCATCCATCCCAACCACCTCCTTACTCTGACTGTTCTGTTAAATATCCTACACCTACTTTTAGCGCCACAGGGCGTTACAAACTGACGCCAACGGGTCCTGAACATCCAATGTAAAGAAGCAAATTTTCACCCAAAGTCATGTCATGTTGCCACAAAAACTTGAGCCAAACCACTTGAGCATTTCACAGTTTAACACACACCCTCCTGCGCAAACACTCGCGCTTGACTTTGATGCTTCCCATCCTGCAGTGACCCATAAAGCGAGACGTCACCTCCGGCACGCTTTGGGTTAAATGTTTATTAGGTTGTTAACGCTCTGAGCTCCACTCGGCAGCCAGCATAAAGAGGAAGCTGTGAAGGACGCGGTGACAGTGATGGCGTCCGACATGTTGTGACAGATAGGGGAGTTGATGCAGCAGGCAACAAACAAACCAACACGCCGGCTCAAGGACACGCAGCCATCTGACTGCAGCGGGAATCAGCACAAAGTCACTTTTAAAAACTAAACTACCTTTGGTTCAGTGTGGATTTCTTCCTACAGTTGTTTTTGTCAGCAGAAAAGGGAGGAGTTGTATTTTCTGTTATTTTTACCTCTTAAACCCTAATGTTACCTTAAATTTCCCTTTTGTTACATATTCAAAACATGCAAATTCTAAACCAGTCGTTTCAGAGCGTGGAGTAAAAGCACTGTATTTTCCCTGGAAAAGATGATAATTGCTGTTTTGTTTGTGATATAACAACAACCAGTGGTGGAGGAAGTCTGAATACTTCCTGTACTTCAGTAAAAGTACAAATACCTTAATGTAAAAACTACTGCATTGAAAATGATACTAAAGTAAAAGTATGTATAATCAGGAATATGTACATAAAGTAATAAAAGCAAACTACTCTTTGTCCTGTGACTGTACTTTTATATATTTTATTATTATTATTCCTTATGCATTTATGTAAAAGCAGGATTTTCAGCTAATGATTAATGTAATTATGGATTAATCTGCTGATTATTTTATCCATTAATTGACTGATTGATTTTTGAAATTCTTAACATAGTGAGAAATGCCATCACAGTTACGCAGAGCCCAAAGAAAATTACAAATCTTCAACAGCAAAATCTTCAAAAAACAAACAGCAAATCGTCACATTTGTGGAACCATGAAATGTTTTTACATGAAAAATGACTTAAATGATCAAAATAGTCAACTGACCAATCGTTTCAGCCGTACTTGTATAAACTGTTTAATTTATTTTAAACTCTCTGTGTGTAAAAATCTGACTTTGTAAAGTAACTGAAGCTGTCAGATGTAGTGAAGGAAAGTACCTCAGATTTGTACCTCAGTACTTGAGTAAATGTATTTAATAACTTTCCATCAGTGAAAACAACTTTTTGTTTAGCTGTCTGGCCTGCAGCTTTATGCTTTAGAGAAAATCCGTGCACGAGCTGCCTGACAGGGAAAAACAGCCAGTAAGTGACTTTTGTTAAAAGAATGTACATGAATATTTATCCAAATGTTCCTACAGTCTGTGGCTGGTTTTGAGGAAACCTTTTCCATCCCGTCAGCAGGTTTTATTTATTTTTATTTTTTGCTGCAAGGTCACAAATCTCTCAGATTAACTGTGGCAGGTCGAGGGCAGCGCGGCCTGTCAGAGAGGATCCAGCTTCACCCACCACCGCTGCGTTTGACTCAGGGAGGATCGGTCCGGTCTGCCTTTAAACGGCGAGCTAAAAGGTCCTTTAAAGGGCAGGCGTTTCTTCTTTTGGTTTCAGTTACACATCATATTTAGCTAGAATTATTTTTCAAGCTGTTGTGAATTTCAGGAAACTCGATTTTTCCTTTTTAAATGTACTTTTATGTTTATCTATACTCTCAAAAGCACTTTTTCTTTCCACTCATGTGTAGCGTGTTGTGTGAACACGTGTGTTTGTGGATAAATCTTTCCCCTCAAACAGAAATATTGCAGTTGTTTCATGCATCTCCTGCCTCCACAGTTGGTGGCTATAAACACTTCTGATGAGGTCAGACGTCGTGAAAACTGCCTCTTTTTGAGCATAACCAGGCTTTACTGTTACACACCACTTCAAATTCTACTTTATTTGTCCCTGGAGGAAATACTGAGTGTTGCAGACTCTGGATGAACAACAGTGGAATAAAGGAATGAAGTGCAGAATTTCAGGACATCAGTCACACAATCAACATGACAACAATCTTAAATACAATGTGGATATGTAACTAGGCCTGAAATTCAACAGCCGGATGTAAAAACAAAGCAGACAATGTCCATCATAAACAACAAAATCAACAATCAGCTAAGGTCGGCAACATCTGCACCTCTGCTCTCGTCACTCTTTACCGTGACAGCGAGTATGAGCACGACACGAACACTTCACGTTCAGCTCATGTTCAAGTTTTGACGACGCTCCTGAACGCACCATGTGTCCAGTACTGTGGGATACTGAGGACTACTCCGGTGACTCCAGGTAAAAATCCACCTTTCTGAGAGCCTTTGGAGACAAGACCGACCCTGCTGACCCTAAAAGATGTTTTCTGTCTTGTAATGTGAATTGATAAAGAGGCGGTGACGCAGCTACAGTCACATTCAAGGACATTTCAGCACAAAAGGAGACACGATGCTGACGGATGCGTGTCGGCTGTCACTCCGATTGAGTCCTTAAGGACTCACGTGATGGACGCCGACGAGGTCAACAAGCGTGTGACCTTAGACTGACAGATGTCTGAAGTCCATGAAATATTGTTAGCAATGAGAAAGATCCCCTGGCTTTTCAGCTCGATTTGCTCTCTTATGTCTCTCTGAACACGATCTTCCTGCTGAAATCCAGAGAGAGATGAAATGTTCATAAAACTGCCTGAGAATTGGTTTGTGAC